GTAAACTGATAAGATTGGTTAAGGCTACAATGCGTAAAGTTGTCTGCAAAGTCGAAATCCCAGGCATTTGAAACGCATGTTGGGCTTAGACAGGGAGATGCGCTGGCGTGTCTCCTTTTTAACATAACTCTGGAAAAGGCGGTCAGGGATGCCCAAATAGACAACAGAGGAAATATTTTTAATAAATCATCTTATATTTTGGCATATACATATGATGTTGACCTAGTTGCACATACAACACGCAAGCTAAAAGAAATGTATACCACCTTGTCAAATGCCTCAAAAAATATGGGCCTGCAAGTAAATGCGGAGAAAACTAAGATAATGACATCAACACCCAACGATAGAGCCAAAAACATCGGCCACCAATTTACGGTTGATAACTCTACCTCTGAAGTGGTGGACAAATTCACATACTTAGACTCCCTAATCACTAAGGAGAACATCATGACGGAAGAAATCAAACGAGGAATAATCCTAATAAACAAATGCTATTTTGGATTGAGTAGACATATGAAAAGCAGAAACTTAAGCCAAAAAACAAAAATAATCATATACAAAACCCTTATACAACCAGTGTTGACATATGGATCGGAGACATGGACCACTTCCAAGGCAGATGAAAACCTCCTGCTTATATTTGAACGAAGGATCCTGAGAAGAATATTCGGTGGCATCTGTGAAAATGGTGTTTGGAGAAGGAGGTACAACTAAGAGATATATCACAAATCTCTCTCTTCAATCCTGACCCCCCCAGGGGGAGTGTAGTGGTCGACGTGATGTCGTGTATTGTCCGTCTCCAGAGATCTCTGTCTCTGGTCATTTCTTTTAATTCATGCATAGGTCTTTGGCATATTCCTGTAATTTGATCTATCCATCTTGTTGGGGATCTTCCTCGTGATCTTCGGTCTTCTACCTTTCCTTGTATTATGAGCCAAGTATCACAGTATCACGAGTATCACAGATACAAACATATATTTGATGGTAAAGACGTAGTATCTCTTATAAAAATAGGAAGACTAAGGTGAGCAGGACATCTGGTAAGATCACAGCAGAACAACCCTTCTAGAAGAATCCTTATGTCACAACCTGTGGGAAATAGAAGTAGGGGTAGGCCAAAACTCAGATGGAGGGATGGTGTAGATGAGGATGGTAGAAATATAGGCGCAGCAAACTGGCAACAGTTGGCAATGGATAGAACTGACTGGCGTAATAGACTTGGGAAGGTCGAGGCTCTTTTATAGGGCTGTAGCACCACTGATAATGATGACCTTTTGTTTTAAAATAAGTAAAAGTATTAAAAAAAATGGTTTCGATGTAAAAAAGACCAATAGGTTGCCATGGAAATTTTCGATAAATTTTTCGAATAAATCGACCGTTTTAGACAAAAGCCACCCGCATAGCATGTTTAGCAAGAAATAAAAGCTAGCTTAATTGAGTTTATTTATTTCCAAAGCAATAAGTAGCTTTCGTAAAATTCAAGAAGGTACTGACTTGTTCTGAGTTCGATCTTCAACTGAGACTAAGGTTTACTAAGTGCTACGTATGGTCAGTGCTGCTATATGGCGTAGAGGGCTGGACACTTAAAACGAGGGATATAAACAGATTGGAAGCTTTCGAAATGTGGCTTTATAGCCGTATCCTAAAAATACCATAGACAGCGAAAATCACAAATATAGATGTCCTTAAAAGAATAAACCAAGAACGCCAACTTTTCGAAACCATCAAGAAAAGGAAAACGGCGTATCTAGGTCACATCATGCGAAATGAAAAATACCAGTTCCTCCAACTTATAATCGAGGGTAAAATTGAAGGCAAGAGAGGAATGGGACGCAAGAAAATGTCCTGGCTCCGAAACATCAGGCAATGGACAGGGATTAACGACATACAATCTCTGATACATATTGCAAGAAATAGAGAATTAATGTATATACAAATGTATATGTATATAAATGTAGTATACAAAACCCTTATACAACCAGTGTTGACATATGGATCGGAGACATGGACCACTTCCAAGGCAGATGAAAACCTCCTGCTTATATTTGAACGAAGGATCCTGAGAAGAATATTCGGTGGCATCTGTGAAAATGGTGTTTGGAGAAGGAGGTACAACTAAGAGATATATCACAAATCTCTCTCTTCAATCCTGACCCCCCCAGGGGGAGTGTAGTGGTCGACGTGATGTCGTGTATTGTCCGTCTCCAGAGATCTCTGTCTCTGGTCATTTCTTTTAATTCATGCATAGGTCTTTGGCATATTCCTGTAATTTGATCTATCCATCTTGTTGGGGATCTTCCTCGTGATCTTCGGTCTTCTACCTTTCCTTGTATTATGAGCCAAGTATCACAGTATCACGAGTATCACAGATACAAACATATATTTGATGGTAAAGACGTAGTATCTCTTATAAAAATAGGAAGACTAAGGTGAGCAGGACATCTGGTAAGATCACAGCAGAACAACCCTTCTAGAAGAATCCTTATGTCACAACCTGTGGGAAATAGAAGTAGGGGTAGGCCAAAACTCAGATGGAGGGATGGTGTAGATGAGGATGGTAGAAATATAGGCGCAGCAAACTGGCAACAGTTGGCAATGGATAGAACTGACTGGCGTAATAGACTTGGGAAGGTCGAGGCTCTTTTATAGGGCTGTAGCACCACTGATAATGATGACCTTTTGTTTTAAAATAAGTAAAAGTATTAAAAAAAATGGTTTCGATGTAAAAAAGACCAATAGGTTGCCATGGAAATTTTCGATAAATTTTTCGAATAAATCGACCGTTTTAGACAAAAGCCACCCGCATAGCATGTTTAGCAAGAAATAAAAGCTAGCTTAATTGAGTTTATTTATTTCCAAAGCAATAAGTAGCTTTCGTAAAATTCAAGAAGGTACTGACTTGTTCTGAGTTCGATCTTCAACTGAGACTAAGGTTTACTAAGTGCTACGTATGGTCAGTGCTGCTATATGGCGTAGAGGGCTGGACACTTAAAACGAGGGATATAAACAGATTGGAAGCTTTCGAAATGTGGCTTTATAGCCGTATCCTAAAAATACCATAGACAGCGAAAATCACAAATATAGATGTCCTTAAAAGAATAAACCAAGAACGCCAACTTTTCGAAACCATCAAGAAAAGGAAAACGGCGTATCTAGGTCACATCATGCGAAATGAAAAATACCAGTTCCTCCAACTTATAATCGAGGGTAAAATTGAAGGCAAGAGAGGAATGGGACGCAAGAAAATGTCCTGGCTCCGAAACATCAGGCAATGGACAGGGATTAACGACATACAATCTCTGATACATATTGCAAGAAATAGAGAATTAATGGAAAATGTGATCGCTAACATCCATTAGTGGATTTGCATCTGAAGAAGAAGAAGAAGAAGAAGAAAGCAATAAGTAAACCAATACTATTTTTAGAAATAATTGAATAGGATAATTTGTTTTTTTTTCATAAAATCCATTATAAATCAATTATTTGCGGCTTTTATTAAAGAAGTATAAATACATTAATCATAAATATTTAAGTTTTGCAATAAGCCTTACCTCAAAAAATACTAAAAAAAATAAAAAATTTAGGGAAAAAAATTGTTTAAACAATTTAGATGGTTTAATTAACAATTTGCAAATGGTATTCAAAAAGTACATACAAATTAAAGGAAGAAACTTCGAAATCCACAAACAAGAACCAGATATACTGTTAACAGCTCCTTCCTCCTCACCCGCTCTCGCGAATTTCAATCTCGGCCGATTCTTAGGACCACAGTTTAAAGCTGTATGGACGAGCATTAAAAAACAATTTTTTCCAATTTTACACGTTTAAACTTTAGAGTATGTTGTTTCAAATAACGCTAATTAGATCTCTTCCAAATTGTCCTAAGACAACTTTTTCTTTTTTTAAATTTGTAGAAAAATGTAAGCTTTCCAAAAATAAAAAGATAATTTCCCTGCAGCCAACAGCTAAAAAGTTATTGTAATTGTTTATAAGCAAATAATTTATATGTATTGCATAATAATTTTGGAATCTTTTAAATTTTTTAAAATGTCGGACTGGAAACCTTACTGTTCTTCTTTTACCTTGTACTGTTCAATTGTGTTTTTTCTCTCGATTTTATTGGCTTAATTAAATAGCTAATGTTAAAGAGTTGCTATAACTGTTTTGAGTAGATAAAGTATCACTTTAACTGCAAGGGTAGATAAAGTGACACTTTAGCAGGAGTAGATAAAATGTTTTAACTTTTTTTTATTCAATAAAATTTACAAATTCAAGCACAATAAGGATTAAAAACAACTGAAATTTTACAATTAACATTATTAGAAATATCTATTTTTGGAGCATCACAACTTGTACTCGTTTGCTTAAACACTTGATTCGAGGTACTGGATTGATTTTCTGTAACATTTGTTTGACATTTGGCAGAGTAATTCATATCCCTAGCAACGGAGCAACACAATTGCGATTTTTGGGCAAAAAATTACAATTTTCTTTGATATTCTATTTTTCACTTGAACTTGAAGTCTTGATATAGAAAAAAATGTTGTATTGCACACGACGATAAAATCGCATTATCTTCTCGAGCATAATTAGCATCTCGACTGACATCTCGACAATAAAAAACGCTCTCGAAGATAAAGTACAATTTACTCGTCTTGTACAATAAATAACTATTATGCCATTAACTAAATAAAGTATTTAGAAAGCTTTGTCGAAGAAGGTTTCGACTTAATTCATCATCAGGTATCGTCTTCTATGACAAGTGAAATATTAAATAAAACAATATTCACTATCAAAAGTTACACCTTTAAACCAATTTTGATAACAATTTTTAAATATATAGTAAAATTATTATTAAAAAAAACCGAACAAAAAATTTACTTGAGTCACTGCGAGTATATTAATCGATTCAGTCGGAACAAACCCGACCTCAACGAATTGTAAATGTTACATCCCTTATTCATAAATACCTATTTTACACTACTTGCACTATGGCTTACATTAAATCTTTCATCTCCACTGCCTTCATCCTCCAAAGAATCAACGTCAATATTTTCACATTCCACAATTTTCGGAAACTTCACCACTTTGTCGCTCAGTCTGCGTTTTCGCATAGTCGTAGCTGCTAACATCATTGTGATCTATTCACTCGCACAACACTAAATTGTAGCACCAATTTTCCAATAAAAAAATCATCATAGAGATGTTTTTATTCGCGAACATATTTTCGTTTACATTTTTTTATCTAGTCGCAGAGATATGTTTGTTTAAAATGCACGTTAGTGACTAAATTACGGACTTTGTTGTAGTTAAGTATAGTAATTGTGATTCTGTAAAGTGCGACCCAAGACAGCATGACATCACGCATGGCTACTTCTTATTCTTCTCTCGAAGACTGACTTGATCGTGTACAGGGGCGGATGATTTATAGAAAATACCTATTAAAGGAGGTGTTATGGGAATTCTAAGTAAGTTCAATAGCACATTTTCCCATGGAAATTTAAATAGTATTTAAAATATGTAAGACATTATTTGTTTATGTAAATAAGTCGTGAGCGTCATTTTAGTAAAATTATTTTGTAAAAAAAATTTCGATTAAAATAAATATTTCATGAAGTTTCATGAAAGAGAGGTTTTCCGGGATTGACTCCGCGTTGAATAATTTTGGTTTTGAGAAAAACCATTTCATAACATCCGTGGATTTGTCAGACTTGTCAGAGCCAAACTCAGGATTAATAGCTAATTCGAAACAAAAAAGAAAATAGAAAATGTATCGAAACTAGATATGGAAAAACTTAAGCAATCAAAAGACGAATATAAACAAAAAATAAAGGAAAGTATACCGGTCACTAGAGATTTGGAAAACAAAAATATCGATGAAATAAATCAGCTATTAACCGATACATTAGCAAAGGCGGGAAAAGAGGTAGCACAAACAAGAATAAAAAAGGAAAACTATGTATCTGAGAAAACAAAAAATCTCATGAGTAAAAGAAAAACATTACTGGAACAAGATAAGAGAAACACAGTAGATTAGAAAGAGGTAAACAAAGCTATCAGAAGGAATATCAAGGATTATAAAAGGAGAATACAGGAAGAAAAAATAGAAAAAGCAATTGAACAAAATAAAAACATGAAGTGCTTAAAACCACAGCTTGGAACCATACAAATTAATAGTATAAAGAACAAAGAAGGTACAGAGACCAATAATGTAGAAGAAATTATACTGATAATACAAGAATATTATAAAAACCTCTACAATACAAAACAGAAACCAACCCAAGAAATCCTTAAGCAACTACAAATAAAAATAAAAAATGTTAATTCCAACTTACAACCAGAGATCAGTAAGAACGAGATAAGAAGAGCACTCAAAGAGATGAAGAACAATAAATCGCCAGGAAAAGACGGGGTGACTGTAGAAATGCTAAAACATGGTGGGAAAACAACTAGAGAAGTTTTGTACATACTTATGAATAAAATTTTAATGACAAAACAAATACCCAACAGTTGGAACAAAGCAATAACACTGTTACTATTTAAGAAAGGAGATAAAAAGGATCTAAAGAATTACAGACCCATAACTTTATTAAATGTGATGTACAAACTATTAACCAAAATTTTAACAAATAGATTAACAACTAAATTAGATGGATACCAGGCAAGACAACAAGCCGGATTTAGAAAGAGCTTCAGTACAAGTGACCACCTTTTAACGATGAAGATTTTAATCGAAAAAACTAACGAATATCATATCCCGCTATACATGGCATTTATTGACTTTGAGAAGGAATTTGATAGTGTGGAACACTGGGCAGTACAGAATTCCCTACAAAACAGCAGAATAGATACCGATATACCGACTTAATTACAAATATATACAACAAGGCAACAACAACTATTAAGCTAATGAAACAAACGGAGCCTATTAAAATAAACCGAGGAGTAAGACATGGAGATACCATCTCGCCCAAGTTATTTAACCAAGCGCTAGAAGATGTTTTTAAACGACTACACTGGGATGACTTGGGAATTAATATAAACGGGCAAAATCTGAATCATTTACGATATGCTGATGATATTGTATTAATAACAGAAAAAAGTGAAGAATTACAAAGAATGATGGAAGAACTAGATAGAGAATCGACAAAAATTGGACTCAAGATGAATTATAGTAAAACAAAAACCATGACTAATCAACCAGAAGAACTTATAATTACAATGGCACAAACAAAAATAGAACAAGTAAAAGAGTATATATATCTAGGCCAAATCACTAAATTAAATAAAGAAAATCAGACCGAAGAAATAAAGAGAAGAATAAGATTGGCCTGGGCATCATTCGGAAAACTGTCTTATATTCTAAAGAATTCAAAATGCCCCCAATACTTAAAAACGAGAGTCTTCAATCAATGTATACTCCCTGTCCTCACATATGGCTCTCAGACATGGACGTTTACAAAGGAAAATATGGAAAAAATAGCAAAGACAGAAAGATCCATGGAAAGACAAATGCTGAACATTAAACTATCAGACAAAAAAAGAAACGAATGGATCCGTAATAAAACAAAAGTGAAAGATCTCAACCCAAGTAGCAAAGCTTAAATGGAAGTTCGCCGGACACACCCTAAGGCAGAAAGATGAAAGATGGACTAAAACAATTATACATTGGAGACCATGGAATCACAAACGTAAAAGGGGAAGGCCACAAATGCGATGGTCAGATGACCTGAAGAAACACGCCGGGTCAAAATGGATGCAAATTGCCCAAGATAGAGAGGCATGGAAGAAGGGGGAGGAGGCCTATATCCAAGGATGGATGTTAAGTGCTGTATAGATAGATAGAACATCCGTGGACAAAGATCTATGATAGATTATGTTATAACCAACAGAGATATACATCCATCGAAAATAATCGACGTAAGATACCTCAACTTAGCAGATGTATGTAGCGACCATACTAGTATTATGTAAAATAAGAATAATCCTGAAATACTTCCCATCCAAGAGAGCGGCGCCAACACAAACAAAAATCAAAGTCGTAGGACTAAATACGGAATCGACGGAATACTTAGACAGGAAAAGAATATCAGAGAAGATCGCTGGGAATGAAATATTAGCAAACGATAACATCGAGGAAAGCTGGGAAAAACTCAAAAATAACATAATTAACGCAGCACCAGAATCACTTGGAGAGAGGAAAGTAACGAACACTAACATATCAAAAAAGCAAACACCATGGTTTAAAGAGGAAGTAAAGACAAAATTTGACGAAAAAAAGGAAGCCTTTTTACAATATAGAATACAACAAACACAATAGGCATACAACCACTATAAACGAATCAGAAATGAAACGAATACTTTACTTAAACAAATAAAAAGGGAACACTTGCAGAGCTTCTCGAAACAGATGGAACACGACTTATACGGAACATAAAAAGGAATATAAAGAATGATGAGAGGACAAATAAAAGAGATGAACGAACTAATAAAAACCAAACACATTCAGAAGGAAACATTGGTAGGCTACTTTCCACCCCTATTTGCTTCAGGTGACGATAATGAACCACCAACACCAGAGGTGACGACAAACGAAGAAATAAATATTGAGGAGGAAGATGTAAAGGAAGCATTAAGGAAAATAACAAATAGAAAATCAGCAGGAGAGGACAGAATACCGAACGAACTCCTAAAGTACGGAGGACCAGATCTGACTAAACAACTATTAAAACTAATCCAAAAAATAATAGAACAAAACAGAATTCTACAAGAATGGAGATCAAGCATCTAATAGCATCTAATAGCATCTAATAGATCAGGCATTCTAATGGATCAGGCATTCTAACCTTTCTTCAAAAAGGAAGATAAATCGGACCCGGAAAATTACAGAGGAATTAATTTATCCAACACAACACTAAAATTAACAACCAAAGTGATAACAAATAACTAGAACGAAATTATAACACTAGCAGAAGAACAACGAGGGAAGATCATGCATTGACGCCATATTTATAACGAGGCAAGTGCAAGAGAAATCACTAGAATACAACAAACCAGCATGCCTATGTTTCGTGGACCTTAAGAAGGTATTTGACCTTCTTAGGGTCCAAATGATCTACCAAAACCACACAATAAAACTAAAAGTAGAAGAAGAACTAACCGACCCTATTGAAGCTGGTAATGGGATAATGTGATAAGGAGATTCCCTGAGTTCTCTATTGTTTAACCTCATTATGGATGATATAATAAAAAGAGCAAGAACTAAAAATCCCTAGGGCTTCACTGCCTAATTAGGTACCGATGGCTTCTGCTAAATCTTTTTTAGTCACTTGACGATTTTCCAGTACGATATCCTCTGTATTTTTTCTACGATTTCTAGTGTTAATGTCGTTTTTGAAACGTTTTTATGACTTGTATAACGATGTTTAACTTCAGTAACCCATCTCTAGGTACTAATTGAAGGCGAAAAGTTCTTATACAGTTTCAACATTCTTCTCAAATTTTTTGTTTAAATCTGCTTTGCTTTTATATTATTATCATCATCACCCAGCCCTTTGCGTCCACTGCTGGACATAGGCATCCCTCATTTTTGTCCATTGTGCTCTATCTTGAGCATTTTTCTTCCAATTTCTTAACATTTTCTTGAGATTGTCAGTCCAACGAGTAGGGGTTGTTCCTCTACTTCTTTTGTCTAACCTCGGCTTTTACTCAAGCAATCTATTCGTCCACCTTTCATCACTGATTTAGGCGACGTGTCCGGCCTAGTTCCATTTCAGTGTATCAATTCGGGAAATTACATCGGTAACTCCTGTTCTTCGTCTTAAGTCTTCAATTCTAACTCGGTCACGAAGCGATATACTCAGCATTGACCTTTCCATTTTCCTCTAGGCTATTTGCAGCGTTTTAGAACCTGTAGCTGTCAATATCAAAGTTTCGGCACCATAGGTCATCACAGGCAACACACATTGGTCAAATGTTTTACGTTTTAACGAAATTGGTATATCGCTTTTAAAGATGTCTTTGAGTTTTCCATAGGCTGCCCATGCTAGGTTTATTCTTCTTCGTAGTTCGCATGTTTGGTTGTCTCTTGTGATCTTTATTTCGTGTCCAAGATATATGTATTTTTCCACCAGCTCTACTTTGTTGTCTCCAATATTGATATTCCGCTAGGTACTAGGTTTGTCATCAATTTTGTTTTGGAGATGTTTATTTTAAGACTCATACTGGCACACACTAACTGAAGTTCATGTAACATTGTACATATCTCCTTAAGGTTGTCCGAAAACAAAACTATGTCGTCTGCGAATTTCAAATTTGTTTATCTTTTACCGTCAATGTTCAGGCCTTTCTATTCCCAGTTAAGTTTTTTACAAGCATATTCCATTACTGCGGTAAAC